GAAACTCTGAGCCAGAACATGATTTTTCTAAAAAGTTGGGTGTTTGCCTCGGAAAGGTGTTACCGCCTCGAAAACCCGCCATCATGTTCACCCTACCTGCAAAAATAAAGATACATCCCTGAAAAAGCAAACACCTTAAGAAAAACAGCAAGGGATGTAAATGTGAGAAAGGTTAAAGTTTACATTTGCTGCCGTGTTCCTTTGTTGGTAGCATGTATTATAAAAAAAAATAAAATACACCCAAACTGTACATATTATAAGGCTATATTTTTATCTCGGGGTTCTGGTGACACGTACAAACCACTTGAGCTTTGCTTTCGTGGTTTATATTGCCACCAGAAACCCTTGATAAAAATACAGCTTTATATTGTACAGTTGGGTATAGTTTATTTTCTCCATATATCACATACTGTGTTTTATTTATAAACATACACAAAGACACTTGTACATGCAAAGCAGTTTTTTTATTGAAGTAATTCTGAGATATCAATAATGCTATATTAACTAACGCATCGTAACACAATAATTTTTTGGTTAGCAATGGCCTTTCTAAAGAGACATCTATGAAAATATGATAAAACACATAAAAAAATCAGTATTTCCATGTTAGAATTTACGATTCCCATACTGAAAATTTCAGCTTCTGGTGGCTTGTACTTGCAGAGAACCCTGCTTAAACCATCTCAAAATTTAGCTGTAATATCTCTTGAATACTTGAATCCTTTCTACAGAGAGGCTACAGGAAATAAAGCTTCGCATAACAGAGAAATGCAAAAATCTAAAGGAAAAAAATCAAATTATAAAAGGAAACGTGCTGCTGATAAAGATGCAACTATGATGAGCTTTTCAGTATCTTGCCCAAGTTGCGCTAATCAAACTGCTATTTAAAATATACTTTTCATACACTTTGTCAGCAGCTTCTCTTCCACCTGCTTTTTGTACCATTCACAAAGGCAAAAATTTTTATTCCCATCTCTCGCAATCCAAAAAGAAAAGCCGGGAACAAGCAATTCAATAGCCACTTGCTTTTGAATGCATCTCAATGTGCTCCGTTAACTTCTGTTTATGTAAAACACCATTTCAGGCACCAAAGAGACGAGGGGAGTCCTCGGCAGGGGGCTGGCAGGGACAAGCGTGCCAGGCTGGGCAGGAGCGAGCACAGGCGCAGGCTTGGGCTCGCTGGCTGCCCCCTCGGCGAGCCAGATGCTTCCTTAGGGGGAGGCTTGCACCTCACATTTGCCATGTCCCTCCCACTCCCTTATCCGTGCTTTAATGGACATTAAAAATAGAACAAAACAGGACTGGAGATGGGAACAAAATCCATGCACAACAGGCCTGGACCGCTGTACTCATTCTGCTGTAAAATGTAAAAACAAGAAAGGGCAGACGAGCTGCATCCCTCAGGACACATCCCGCTTTTTTAATATAGTGGTGCCACCACACATTTCACTTCGGATGTTGCATTATATTTATATGTCACTCAAATATTTACCATTTTTCTGAATTCTGCTGGGTGCTCTGAGAGCTTGTTATAAGGCAAGTATCCGCGGTTGTATGTCTTGGCTGGTTAGCAGCCGTGGCTGAGCTGCATCAATATGCTAACTTCTCTTTCTGGAGCTTCTCGTGCGACAAAAGCCACTCTTTCATAAGGTTTCCTCCTCCGTAGTTGCCGGTCTGCCCGCTGCTGCAAATCACCCTGTGGCACGGTATTATAATCGGGATCTGCAAAACGCACAAAAATAAGGAAGGGAGCAAAGGGTGAGGCAAAGGGGAGCGGTGGCTGAGGAAGATGCCCATAAATCCACCGCTAAACCAGGAGTCGTCTGCCACTAGACTAGCAGGGACACAGATTGAAGTATCCACGTTAAGGACCACCCCGGCAGAGTCCCGGCCATGCCCAAGGACAGGGTAGCTGCAGCATCAAGGACGTGTTCCTGGCTGAGCTGCTACGATGCAGAAATGGCGCTGATCACGGACTGCTCTGCAACGGCCATGGGCTCTGAACACCAACCAATTCATAGGGAAAAATAAGTGTTGGGGGAAAGTTTAACACATAAAAATGATGTAAAGTCTTAAAAGGGTAAAACCTTTATATAAAATCCCACATATAGAAAGTTCTCTGCAAGAAGCAGATTTTCCTGCCTCGTGCCAGTCCCCTCCAGCAGCCGAGACCTCAGTGCCCAGGGTGGGTGACGAAGCCTCGCAGACCCAAAAAGCACATGAAGATAGCATGGAGGTACAGAACGACTATTAATCATCATCCCAGGATTAGAAGAGGCCGTATTTCTGGAAAAAAAACAGACCACTGAGAAGAGCACTTCCAGGAGCGAGCTTCCCGAGCCCCAGCTCCCTCGGCAGATCTCCTCCTCTTGCTGTAACACCTCTACGTGCACTGCTGAAAAATTCTATATAAGAACAAGGCGCTATTTATTATTTAACAGCAAGTCAATCCAAAATGGGTTGTGAATTTTTAAAACCTACAACAGGAGAGATTTAATTCACACCTAACCAATTTAAGAACTTTTTTCCTCATGCCTTCTACTTTGTATCATTTATAGCCAAATGTCACGGATTCTGAAAAATCAATGCAAGAAGTTACATAATAGACTGATAATGTAGAGAAGTACATAAATGCCTTTTTTTTTATTTTTTATTACAGGTGATTATCATAGTTGAAGTACACACCATAAAAAATGCAATACATCATCTCTAATCACGCCATATGTGTTTTGGTAACTGCATACTAATTCGATTGCAATGATATAGCTGTGAAAACAATAACTTACTAAAAAGTACGCTTTTCACAAATTTGGATATTTTAAGTGAAAAAGTATAATTTATTTATATATAGACACACAGACAAATTACATACTTTACACTGACTTATTTTAATCCCATTTAATAGTTATTTTAGTACAGTTTAAGCTGTGCTCATATTTGAGTCTGGGACACACTGGCCCCAAAGTAGCTGGACAGTTGCCGGCCAGACTTTTGTAAATTGTTTTTTGGGGGATTCTTTTGTTTTTATTAGGTAATTTCAATGGTTGAAATTTAAAATCTCGATCTCAGCCCACAGGCTATCACATTAAACGGGAATACACATAGGTTCTTATTGTTAATCAAGGTTTAATAAAAAATGCTTATAATAGCTGTTTTATTTGGAGTTGGCAATGCCACAAGTGAATTATGCATCCGTGACAACTCCAGTGAGTACTCTATACCATGCCATCCTGCGCTTGGTTTATGACTTCTTTAAAGAAGTTGTTTTTTGCAAGTGTTTTTCTGTTTTGGGATTTCTCCGTCTTTACAATCCACGTGCACAAGTTACTGCAGGCAGATTTTCTTGAGTGACAAAGCCAGAACAAGCCGTAATAAAACACACTAAAAAATCTCCAAGGTTAATTCGCAATTCTTCAAAAATATATACAGTAAATCAGCATATTTTGAAGCTAAGGCTATAAATCTTGCTACGGAGAGGGGCCAAAACCTCTTTCTGAGCCAGTTCCCTGCTGCCACTCAGACAGTGCAAAGACACTCGAACCGGGGGGGTTCATGTACTGGGGAATTTTGTCAGGGAGGTAAGTCGACACCTCCTCCTGCTATGTTGTACGAGAAGATGGAAGGTGTGCCCAAGTGGGTAAAAAAAAGGACTTTATTTTCAGGTGGCGTGAGCTGGCACGCCGTGCGGGGTCTTGGATGTCCCTGGGTAAGTGCAGGACCAGTTCACAAACACAGGGATGCGCGGCTGAGCCTCTTACCATCAAGCAAGAAGAAGAGGGTATGAAATAAATGTAGCTTTTTCCATGCCTGAAATAAAGAATTTCATACTGAGTTTATCCTAACACATGCAAGCGCCCGTACGTCACCCTCCATAGTGTCAGATGTAAAAGAAAATGCAGTACAAAGGCTGTATCAGCACTGTAATTTAAAAATATTGAATATTGCTTCAGTTTGGCTTAATTGTGGTGACAACTTTCAGACTACTAAAATAATTAAACCTGCTAAAATTTATTAGGGCCCTAAGGACATTTTAGAGGGAGTACTACCCTAGTCTGGAGCTTTAATGCCTCAGCTACATTTAATGTAATTTTTATCAATAACCAAGCAGCTCATAATATTATAGCTCCGCTGAAATCTTCATGCTGTGAAATCTAATTCATCTAATACATGAATCCATCACTTACACAGACCCTACCTCAAATGCTATAAAACTTCCAAACCCATAGATTTGTCTCCAACAAAAATAACATGAAGGGGCCCTCGGATCAATAATGGAGTCCCTCTGATTCGGGCACCAGCTGAATATTTTCTCCAACTTTGCTTTTGTTCTTCTGGGTAGAGGCCCACAAGGGAAAGAGCTTGTTTTCACTCGCAGCCTCATCAATACCTAAATCCTGGTGAACAAGTGACACTGAGAAGCTGTAATCAATAGCTCCCTGTGCGTTTTTTCTTCTGGTCAAATGGTTCAGCACTACTGACAGCCCTGACACTCAGAACATGATGCTAAATCTTTATCAACAGCCATCTGGGTGACTGGCAGAACAAGACTTGGGCGGTCATTAACGCTCGTGGCAATCTGTGAATAAACTAACTCCTCAATAATGCGTTTGTTTAGAAAAAAGGTGGGGAAAAAAACTCCCTGCACAAGGTATCGATCGCCTTTGAATTGCATTTAGCAAATTCCGCCTGAGGATGGAGCCGAGCGGTGCTCCGCCGCTGCGCTCCACTCGTTAAGAGTTTTCAATTTGAGGCAACGGAAACCTGACCGTCCCATTATACTGCTGATGGGCTGGAGACCTCCAGAAACTGCCAAACTGTCAAAACCAGATCAGCCAGGCCGTAATGGAAACAGCTGAAATATCAAGTTATAACATACAACAAGAATCACACTCAGCAAAAAATAATCTTTCAGTTTGCTCATGTCCTATTGCTTTTTCTCCCCTTCTTCCCCAACAGAAACAAATACCGTAATGTGACCCAGCATGGGTCCCGGGTTATTGCCAGCCACCGAAGGAATTAATGCACAAGTAGTTTTATGTGTCCGTTCAAATCCACACTTCACAATCTTCTCATAAATGCACGATTACTCCTTCCAATCTCCAATGTTTAAAACATTTTGGCTGAATAACATCCTTGACTTAGGATAGATCGATATTAGTATGAAGTTGTACACTTAGCTGGGCTTTAGCCTAAACAATAACACAATCGGAGAGAATATAAAAGCCAACGTATGCAGCTATGACTGCCGTTAACAGACCGCTGAAGACGTCTTATTTAAGGCACAGAACAGTCATTTAGGATGGCCTTGGACTAATCAGCCCAACATTCGCCATTTCCCATGAGTCTCTGTGATTTCTTTTTGATCCTCCTATGCTAGTCTAATGAGATTTTTAATTGAACTTTATGGGTTCCCTTTGAGGACCACAGACCTTGCAATCAATGTGAACCGCAGTAAACTATTTGAAGTTTGTCTGGCAAAAGGTGAGTCATTCCCACCATGTCCTTGGCATAAACTGAGGCAAAGATGTCGCATCTTTCAGCTGCTGCTGGCACCTATTCCACCTTCTCATAAAGTTGAAGGTCATCGTATGAATTATGTGAAGCAACCCAACTACAAAGGGAAACCTGTGGAATGCACACTACCACAATTAAAGACCAACCCCTGATTTGTAGAAGGGAGAAATGTTCTGGTATTTTGTAGAAAAAGGTGAGATACGCAATTTTATGAACACATTTGAGTAACAAAGCAATGCCAGGCTCGGGTTTATTTCAAACGCTCATTTTTACTGTTATTACTATCCTCATTAAATCATGTTTATGATTGAGTCATCGTGTCTGTAATTTAGTCCTTTAATCATAGGAAGCATCTGAAGGTGCAAACATATTATGATTTTGCTATTTTCCATAGCTTCTGCAGCAATCATGAATAGAAGCATTCACTTTTATTTCACATTCGCAATAAAAGCATTCACTAGTTTCAACTTCTCTCCTGTGAACAAAAATCACTAATCTGCTGCTTAACAAAACATCACATTTCTGCAACAATTTCGAAGCAATTGCTCCTCAAAACCAGTACTTATATCCTAAAGCTCGGGTTGCAGGTGTAGCAGTTGTTAACACCACAGCTCTTTGCATTCTGCACTGATATGTTAATGATGCTGCAGTTCAGATGACGTGTTCAGTTTAATGAACTGTTTAGTCAGATTCAAAGCTCGATATCTCATCTGATAAACAGACTGCAAGTGTGTTTATACACATACAATGTTCATGGGTATCCTACAATTCTGTGCAGGTAGTAGTACACTACCATAGAAACTCACATAATGTCTAATGGGTTTAAGCTTCTAAGCTCAATAAAGAAGTACACCCTGATATTTTAAGCGTGTATCAGATTTTCCTAGGAAACCGTTCATATAAGCAGTATAAAGCTACATTTCGTCCATACACTGTATTGTACTTGACAATACAAACTATTTTAATATGATGGAGTGCTTTCCAATATAATATGGTGTACATTAAGATAAGGCAATACAATGCAAACCTACAGGAAGCAGTTCTCAAAGAATAACAATATAGTGTTGTGCAAAAGGATATGTAACTGCTATCGCCTAGAAATGTACCCAGCTTTGCCCTCAGGCTGCAGTGGAGCAGCAGCATCCAAAGCAGCGGTAACAGCAGGTTGTGGTGTGAAAATTCCTGCTTTTTCCCCTGTGAGGAAGGATGAAAATAGTTCTGAAAATATACAGCAAAGCTACTGCAATTTTTTTAAAATGGGGTCCTATCTTATTATTGTTATTTCCCATCCCATACTACAGCTGCAGTGTTTTCTGTCCCCAGCAGAAATTTTTAAAGTATATTATAGAAAATAATGTATGGCTTTAGGGAAAAAGTTATATTAATATAATACCACCCCAATATTTCATAATAGAAAGCTGATGGTAAAAAAAAAAATCAGTGCTGTAATGAGAGCCCTGCCCATTCCAAAACACATTTTTATCACTACACATCTCCTGTAGTTAGTCTGTAATTTCATGCATATTCCACATGCAAACACATAGTCCTTTTGTACTTTAATGGGAGCACCTATTCACTATGTTTCTCGTATTTCCCATACAAATCTTTACATGGTCCTCCAGGCCTATGAGCCATAATACGCAGGTTGACTATGCATAATATGCAGGTTGATTTTATGAATGAGGTGAAATATAAAGATAATATGTGGCACTGCAAAAAACCCTCACCTTTATTATTTCTATATGTAAAGCCACCAGCTCTTGTGAAAACAGATTTTCTAACCCATTTTGCAACTACACATTGCAGTCTTGTATGTACCTTATTAAAGAAAACACTGAGGACTGAATGTAAAAACAACACAGGAGGTCAAAGATGATGGCAGGTATAATGCTGGAGAAAAGGATAGGAATTCGGGTATGGAAAGACATGTTGCTCAGGGCAAGTGGTAATGAGGGAAAATATCTTGAAGAATGGCCAAAAAGGCCGCAATGATATTAATAGAAATCAAAGTTTTTTATTTTTTTAAAGGCAAGTAGCAAGGGAATGAATGCGTAAAGACAGATATAGTGGCGTTCTCTTTACCAGGTTTTCCTTTCCTTTGCACAGGAACCCGTCAGCTGCAGGCTGCAGCACCAGTCCCATGCCAATCAGTGTGATTCAGGTGCATAAATATATCTGGAAATCTAAACCTGGACAACTAAAAGGGAAAGATAATTACCGGGAAGACAGACAAAGAGGCCAAGTACAACATACTGTTTTTCCAAAATCCACGGGACTAACCTAGAACGCTACTCCCTCCAGTTGGTTCAAATTCAGGCAACTCACCTATATCTAATGGAGAAATGCCATTTACAGCTGGTTTGGAGTGCATGGGGAAAAAAACATACTGACAATTAGGGATTTGATTCAAACGTGTACCTACATGATTTAAAATCCCTCCTCTTCCACATTTTCAGAAACATATCCATGCCAGAGAGGATGGACTGCTGTTAACACAACCAAAGCTACTCACACCCTGTCAAAATGAGGTCCGTGTCAGGGGATAAAAGACTTCCCTCACCTAAGAAAATATAAGAAAGTTTGAGAACAACAAAATGTGTAGAGGCTGATGAATGAAAAGAAGCGCAATGTTTCTATTTCAAATCTAACGCCATAAATGGTAGGGAATAAATCACATTAAACTGGGATGTGCATTATTGCTGATTAAGAACACTTACTGACCTTATTACTCATGGTAGACCAGTTTTCATAGCAGATAAATTTAATCTAATGACATTTAGCCCGCAAAGCTCTCTAAATCCACCATCTTCCATCAACTTTAGTTAAAAGTTGACGTGAACTTACAGGATTGCTCCTCATCGCTCCTCCCACTGCTCTCGCCGCTCTGCTGTTGCCTGCAAGGTCTGCTAATTGCTTGTAGGAAACGGCCTCTCCAAACTTCACGTCTCTCAACAGGGTCCACAACACTTGTCTGGTGAATGAATCTGCAAAGAAGACGAAGCGAGAACTGTTCGTATGCATGGCTGAAAAAACCAAGATGAAATATTGAAAAAACCCAATGCAAAGCAGAGTCTCAATAGCAGCTTTCTAATTTAAATTTAAACAGCCCCGATGCACTGTCCTGTTATTGTATCCTATATTACTACATTTAAATACATGATTATTAGAAAGGGCACTTCAAGTAACCGATCACTATAAAAAAGGATTTAAGGCTTTGATTTTCCTATATTTTTAATTTGCTTCAAGTACAATTATCCTGTTAACTCATACAATGTGTTTTTTCCATTAAATTGGCAGAGTATAAATTAGCATAGAGTCAAATTAAAAAGGGAAGAAATAACCGGCTCTACCTATTTTACAAAGCCCTCGCATCTCCAGCTAATTTCCAACTTCAGCTGGGACACGCGGCAGAAGAAGCCCTAGAGCCAGCGGACTCGGTATTATCCTGGCTGACTGCATTTTATAGTCGAGACCCCCAAGCTACTGCTCAGCATTGCAGACATTACAAAATGTAAGGACTAGCTGTGACCTTGAATGTACGGCACATCCTTAATGATACAGGGCTCTGAAAAAAAATAATGTATCTATATCTTCCATTATTTTAATTTTAATTCACCAGCAAATTGCTTCTAAGTGTTCCAATTGCTGAAATAATGAATAAGCAAATGCATTAGGACCAGCTTTCTTCTGCATCTCAGGGTTTTACCTTCCCAACCCAGGATTATTTTACAAAAGGAAAACTGATAGCCGTGTTTGGATTTTAGTTGGGTTGAACACCTATTGCTCTTCCAAGGCACCTGTAAAAGCTTTGAAGATCTAACTAGTGAATAACTTACTGAGAGGAGCGAGCTGGCGAATAAAAAAAAAAGAAAAAAGAAAAAAAAAAAGGAAAAGAGATCCCTTCCCCCAGCTGAGAGCTTCGGTCTCCTGCTTTGGCAAAGAAACAAACTGATTAAAAACATTTTCTTTCTTTAGTTGTCAAAAAAGACATTGATTATGTTACATAGGAACATAGCGAAATGTGATTTTGTTCTTAAAGGAAACCCATACACCATTATGTGTGTGTTAAATAATAAAAATCACTTCTTAACTGAAGGGAATGATAATCACTTCATTGAAAAAATCTGTTTAGTCTTTATTATAACATTAAGCAAATTAAACATCAGCATAATCCAGGTGATACGAGAAAAGGGTCATCAAAGAAATTAACTTTGTTGTTCATTAATTTACATGGATTAGTAGAGGGCAAAGAGATAGCAAATCTGCTCTAGTTTTTATGATATAATTTCAAACTGTACACCATTTGTGGCAGTAGGGTGACTTTGGGGTTAATCAGACTGATTTGTCCTTTTAATTGCTTTCTATTCAAAGAAAATTCATTAGATAATGTTCTCTTCAAAATTCATGAATCAATTTAACTGAAGAAACCACATTAACAGCTTTGGGTTCATTAGCACAAGCAGTTGTGTTACTAGCTGATTGCTAGGAGGGTTTCCTTAGGCAAACAGATTTTGTTTACTGTGATTTCTTCAGAAAGGTTTATTTCAAATCAAATTGTTACTTATTACTTTTTTAACTTTCTTTTTTAAGCCAGCAAGATTAGTGTTAACCTTGCCTACTCAGGGGTCTCGGGGAATTATTGCCTGATGTCATCTTTTAAATCAATGAAACGCACTGACTGTACGTTGCTGGGGCCCGAGTCCAAAAAATCCCCTTTTTTGCCCTCAGTTTTGGCAGGGGAGGAGGTGGGCTGGGATGTGACAGACCCATAACTTTCTGAAACCTTTAGGAATAAGAGGAGAAGTGGGTGCAGACTGCACTGGAGCACCGAGCGGTCGTGGGAGGATGGGGCAGCTCCAGAGCTCCCCACAGCAATAGCACCACCGTGCCAAGCGATGCCCAAATTATTGAGTACCTTTTAACATGCTAAAAGAGGGTCAGAGATTATCATCTTCTGCCAAGCAGGGGCAGAGATTATCCTCTTTCCAGAGCCACTGTACATTTTTCATGGGAGAATATATACTGTTTCTGCACCCACATAAAACACTGGAAGTTATAGTTCAAAAGAATGAAATATTTAGCAATCATGCACATCATTTTATAAATGTATCTGAAAACTCAATTTCATCCTGTAGGGAGCAAATGCATTAATTAGTTTAAGCAGCTCTAAGAGACAGTGCCAAATACTGTTATTAAACTGTCTGCAAGTGTGAGTGCCTGTAAGCATAACCTGCCCAAATTAGATGGCTGAACTTTCACCAATTTTCAGTGTGTGCCAACATTTTATGCTGTTAAATATCATTATAAAGTGCTGTAAAATACGCACATAAAAATTAACACACACAAATTCTCTCGTTACATGAAAATACTTCATACCTCCGCGAGCTGAGGATGCCTGCGCCATCCTGGAAAGGCAGATGCCAGCAGAGCAACGGCTGAACTGAACCACATCATATGAATGTGAATATCAGAGGTTTTCTCCTTCCTCTGCACCCACCTACAGCGTGCACTGCACTGCTGTCAGCAAAAATACGCCCTCCAGGTGCCAGGCTCTGGACTGCCCTCTTGCCAAGGAACACGTGTTATGGCCAACACAGAGCAACTAGTGTTGCTAGATGCTATTTCTAATTTAAGTGATCAATAATTTGTCAGATTTTACATGAAAATGCACACTTCACCAGTTCCCACTGGGAGCTGGAGCTGCACCAGGAAGGTGGGGGTGAAGGTGAACTGAAGGATAAGGAAGGGAGAGACCTGTGACTGAATTGGGTTTCCAAGTCTCCACAGCCCTAAGGACCTGTTCCCACCTCCAGCTGCTGTGTCCATGGCACCCAGGGACCACAAAGGTAGTTGGGAAGGTTTCATACAATCATAGAATAGTTTGGGTCAGAAGGTACCTCTGAAGGTCGTCTAGTCCAACCCCCCTGCCCTGGGCAGGGACATCTTCAACTAGATCAGGTTGCTCACAGCCCCATCCAACCTGACCTGGTGTTTCCAGGGGGATGGGGCACCCACCACCTCTGGGCAGGGACATCTTCAACTAGATCAGGTTGCTCACAGCCCCATCCAACCTGACCTGGAATGTTTCCAGGGATGGGGCATCCACCACCTCTCTGGGCAACCTGTGCCAGTGTTTCACCACCCTCAGCGTAAAAAATTTCTTCCTTATATCTAGCCTGAATCTACCCGCTTTTAGTTTAAAACCATTCCCCCTTGTCCTGTCGCAACAGGCCCTACTAAAAAGTCTGTCCCCATCTTTCTTTATAAGCCCCCTTTAAGTACTGAAAGGCTGCAATAAGGTCTCCCCGGAGCCTTCTCTTCTCCAGGCTGAACAACCCCTGTTTAATGACAGGCGATGGGAGAATGACTTCTTGGATGTTTTCCTCCTACAGACATCACTGTTGCACTACTCACTGGTCAAAAACATCGTAATTGCACCTTACTATCAGCCCTGCTAATTGCGTGGTAAATTGGCAAAGCAATGCACCATTCCACCACGAGTGGATGTGCCGGGACTGATCTGAAATTAGTATTTACAGATAAGTTACATGCCCCTAAAAAGGGGGACTTAGCCTGAACTTGCTGTTGATGCCTAAATGCTTCAGAGGTCACTCGTGACAGCCCGCTAGACTTTAATTCTCCATATAAACACATTACGTCCATGGGGATAACAGAGTGAAAATCAAGTTTACTTTAACACCAGCCGTATCATAACTTTTAACAGTGTAATTGAAGGTGGCAATTAGTACAAAGAAGTGAAGTCATATGCTACTATCTAACAAAGTGCTGCCACAGCATTTATCGTGTTAGTAAGGGGCTCAGCCCCCAGGGCAGGCAGGATGGATGCTACCAGCAGCACAGGGGGGAAAAAGCAGAGTTACCAGTGTCAGTCCCTTCCTGCCCCCTCTGCACCTCCTTGCATAGTTCTTGGTGCAAGAGAGGTTCATAAGATACACAGTCTGATTTTACATCCTTTTTAATCCCTTTGATTAAGAGGGATTAAAGACAGACCATTTTTTTCCTTCTCCTCAACACTGATTGCTGGGAATGTTAGTTTTTCTGTTGTTTGGTTGTGGTTTTTTTTTTCCCCCAAGGGTTTTTGCAAATGCAAAGAAACAGTTATAAATACTCACCCCTTCTCACCATCTTTTTCGCAGCCTGTCTGGGGTACTACATAGGCAACTTTTTTGTTTGTTTTTACGCTTACCAGTTTTCACCGTTATTACTATTGGTAAAATATCAAGCACAATACTTCAAAAATACTCCAATTTGTCCACAAAACAGCAGCATGAGCTTCCACCTAATCCAGAAAAACTAACTTGGCTCTTGGACCTTGGAAGAACAGACTCATATTCTGAAGAACTGAAGAATAAACTGAAGAACTTTTACTGACAACAGGCAACTACATAAACAGTTAATGCAAGCAAGAGTGCTAATTTTTAGCAATTTTGAACCTCCTTCACTATTAAATAGGCAGTTTAAGCCATATTAAGCATGTCACCTAAGCAGCAATCTGAATACTGACAATCACTGCTACCCTACCCTAGACTGAAATAGCAAGCGGTATGTGAAAGAGATAAATGCTTGTCTAAGTCTCTTAACTGTTTAATTATATTTTGCTCTTGTTATGAGGGAGATCAAGAAATGCTTTTCTTCCCTTTACAATAGCTGCAAGTCCCTGACCATTGGTACTCTATGGTAAAAAATGCAATTATTAGTTGCTATTAAAGGATTACTGGGAATATAGATTAGACAGTATGGTGATACCATATCCCATAAAAGAGTCCAAACATCTCACTGCAACAGAGACAAAGGATTGCTTAAAATCAGGGGTGCTGCAACCATCTGGCAAAAATCATTCAGAAAAGTCTATGAACTTTTATTGTTGCTGTCTGCATGCGTGATATTGGTATATTATAGAGACAGAATGTGCCTAACTGAAAATAATGAAGTTAAACTTTACCTTTATGATTGCTTAAATAGT